TTGCATTGTGATGGAAATACTTAGATACAAATGCTTTTAATTTCATTCGCAGCGAAAGATGTTTTTTTACTTCTTCGTGGTCATTATGCGCTCTTCTAAACAAAAACCTACTGCTACTTATATAGTTAACCTTTATGCGTTCATCCTTGCCGAAATAGTCCTATGAAATTCAAGTTATTGTGCATTTTTAACAAAAAATAAGCGGAAGTAAGGTGAGGACGGCGCGGTCGCAAAATCGCTCCTGTCCCACGAGGTGCAAAATGCCAAAACATGCGATGTCGTCAACGTGTTAATTGTCGCTTTCTTCAACCGTCCTTTCCGATGAATGACGCTTCTGCGGCTGCAGTATATCACTATGCCAGAAAGACTGCGAATTTTCCCAATTCAAATTTTCTACTGATATACTGTTCCTCCACTAGATTTCCAAATGTGTATTCTAATTTAGAGTAGATATTTGCTGCCCATCCTCCACGATTCTTTTTCCTCTCTATGCATTCGTGCCAATCGCTATGAATCAAATCGGCAAGCAGCTTCCATTTAACTTTTAATTCTAAGATATCATCTGCAACGGTAAGTAAGATGTAAGATATCATTTGCTACGGTAACTAAACCCCTTGTGAAAGTAATGATGACAGCGAATAAGTGGCAGTAGCATCATTGTGTCCGTTGATAAATCTTGTCCTTACGACCCCCTCCCCTCTCATCGGAGCAAATAGGACCCCATGTCGATGACTTCCTCGACCGTTATTTTACCCTGGACTGAAGCTAAGAAAGCGCAGTTACGCAGAGGAAAGCTCGATGGAGTAGGCCTCGAAAGAATTAGGAAAAAGACCCTGGATATCCCGCTATTGATAAGTATGGCAGCACGGCAGCATACAAAGCAAGGAAATAGCGCCATCTGAGTCACGACAGTGGCGCGGTTCCTGTGCGTGGGGATCCCTCTTTCTCACCAAGGAGGAACTGACTGTTGGCACCTAATCCCGTCCAGTGGCTTTGACGCTGTGATGGCTTCATATCTTGCAATAGCGCCGAAACTGAACCAAGACGCTTCCTCCCCCTAGTGAAGTAATGTAGAAAGGTTAGTAAGTTCATTAAGTAGAACGCAATGAAATAAAGAACAGCGTCGCATCACACGCAGTTGCCACAATTACGCTGGCGATTAGTTATGCTTTTGACATATTTTGCTTTTTTTAAGGAAGAAGTCTAACAAGGGGAGGTCGTTCAGGGCGTGGAGCGCTTTCTCAAAACGGTTTTCTTCTATGATATAGAGGGATGTGCCTGGAGTACAGAACTGTGGTCCATTTCCGCTAAATGGCCCTCTGAATGCCAAAAAAGGGGTGGGAAAGTGGTCCTTGGTTCGATTCCCCGCGGTGAAAATTTTTGCACTGTGATTTGACGCCACAAAATTGGCACCGAAGAACGCCAACACCAGCAATTGATGTCATAATTACAATTAGGCTTACAAAAACCCTTACAAGTGGGCTTATACCAAAAACTGGTGAGAGAAAGTTGTGACGCAAAAACTTCACCAAGGTGCCGTCGAAGAACGTCATAGGGGTCCGAAATGATGTCGGAGCTACAAACGAATGTTGTATTCATAATCAGGGCACCTGATAACCCTTCTAGTCGATGTTTCTAAGAAAATCAAGATTTTGGCCCGACTTCGAAAATTTGCTAGATGGATAAGTAAACTCTGTGGCACGTAAAGCTCGACGGTGAACTTCTTGGAAATGACATCATCTAGATAGTCCTCAAAAAATGAGAGATGCTCCTGCCGAATAGACTATAGCAGACAAGCAAGCTGGTGTTGGTCGGAGGGTCACCCACAGTGCAGTAGTTTTCTGCCAGTTTTCCCGCGCGGAGCTCACCTGAGAATGCTTGAAGATTTACTTATGTCTGGTGCAGGTTTTCGAAGTTAGGTCAAATGATACGATTTTCTCGAAACTTTGGCTACAGAGGTAAATCAGTGCTTTTGTCACGAATATGGCATTGTTTTTTGGAGCCGCCGCTATCTGGCGCCATTTCGACGTACAACTTTTTTGCCTGCTTTCGGTGAAAACTTACCTAATCTGGGTTATCAATAGTTCTGGTCTTGAATAACACATCCATTTTGGCACCTGTGCTATTTGGAGAAAATCCGTGAAGTGCCTACAAAAAATGCAAAAAGCCCGACGCCTCGGGGATCCGAACCACCAACCCAGACCAAGCGTGCCAATCGAAATCCAAAGCGCTAACCACTAGACCACCAACGCTTTTTTCAGCGAAATGGACAATAGTTCTGTTTACTGCACACGCCCTCCATACCTGTAAAAAACCGTTTTCAGAAGCGTTCCACGCGCTGAACGACCTCTCTCGTAAGATGACCTCGGCGACCTAGCACGACTCGCTCTTGGCGCGGTTGGCGCGGTAACGCCCACCAACTCATCTAGCACTCGCGCAGCAGCAACGCCGACGCAGTAATAAATAGGCACAGCGGTGAGAGTCGAATCAATGCGCAAATCAACGGGCAAGGAGGGGTCCCATTTTCGGGGTTTTCAGGCCGTTTCATATGGTTTCTTCTTCATCCCTGCTCCACTGTCCACCTCTATCCTTATTTCCATTAAGCCACCTTTTCATCGTAAATTCTGCGTTTAAGTGGAAAAACGTTTCTGAAGATATTATGGTTTTCAAACACGTTTTGCTTTGTTTGTTGTTATGATACCATTGGCAGAAGCTACGATTCTTAACATATATATTTTTCTCTCACGACCAGATTCACTACAGAGTTTGTTGCACACTTATTCTCTGGTTTAATGGTCCCATTACCTCGATTTGGAAAATTATGCCTCTAGCGCGAAAGAGCGGGAATTTAGCCTCACGCGCCGTCAGCAAATTTCCTTTCTGGCTCTACGGTTTTTTAAGAACAATCACCAAGGCGTTTACCTCATTGCTACGCGATGACCATTTAGTGGACTGTCCCAGGACGCCCAAACGGCTACGGCAGCTAAATTATAGGCGGAAATACCGCCCAAAAGCGTAACGCAGCGTAATTCAGTGAGGAACATGAGAAAACTGGCCGGAGGTTGGGAACTGTCTAGTTGCAGATGCGGATAGGTGCACAGAACAAGCTTGAAGCACAGTCCTTCAAATTCAAGAACGGCAAGCTCTGTCGAATGTGCAGAGAACAAGCATAGTCGAAAATGTCAAGCAATCTATAGCGGACCGAGAACAGAGCTCAAATGAAGACATAGAATTTCTATGTAGTTCGCCAGGCCTCCATCTATCAAAACTTTCCCTTAATCACTAGGACTCCCAAAAAAAAACGGACAGTGCAGAAATAATATCAGTCGAAATAGGCCCCTTAGCGCAGCAATGAGCTGGACTTGAAGGACAACGGATTTTCCCAACTTGTTGATTTTCGTAGATGTGAGCGAAAAAACTCAAGATGAATCTTACCCTAGATAGGGTTTCAAAAGGAGCTGTCTTTGACCGATCCATACAGATTGATTGCGTCTACTAGCGGAATGATATCAAGATGAATTTCCTGGAATCTTAGTGGAAAACCAACTTCCACTAGCACGAAGGCCGAACAGGAAATATAATAACTGGGCGGAGTTGGCATGTGTCACCTGGTATCAGAATCAACTTTAGTTACTCATAGGAACAGCATTAGTTGTAAGGGTGATTACGGGGTAAATCCAACTTCAATACATATTAAGGGGATCCGTCACGCAATTTCACATAGCATCTTTTCGAAACCTTCTTATTTTTTCTAGCTCGTTTTCCCTAGGCACGGAACAACAGTCGAAGTGCATTGCTCGGGCTCATTCAGGGACGCGCCGTGCGGTCGACAGTTAGCAACGTACATTATGCCAACTCCGGCACTTATAAGCCCTCCAGCATCTGTCCTCCCATTGGACTAAATACGACCCCCTCTTTGAGGACTCCTCGACGCATGCTTGACCCTGGCGCGAACTCATGACACACACTTTTGCGACGCCCAAACCCACTGCGCCTACTTTGGCGCTCACAACTTGTTACTTGTTATATTATGCTCTCTGCTTGACAAAATAATGTTCATTACTCTCTGTAAATGCACGCTAGACGTCGTACATGCAATATACTTGTACAAGCGCACTTTTATATACAAACAACAATGAAACACCGCGGAGAGGAAAAAGGAAGAAAGAAAAATCTATCCAACACATCAGAGAAAAACACATGAAGAAGAAAATCAATAAAATCAATATGATAATCGTGAGTAGAGGTGATAAATTCATTGGACAAAAGAAGAAAAATGACTATGAAAAGCTCGTATCACTAAAACTCACATTTTGTTAGAAATCTATCAGTATGTATGAATATATATTGACAACATATCATCTATATCTGTGTATCAGTGTAACAACTAGTAACATATATGACATTTGAAATATTTGGCCGACGACACGATGTGCTGCTGTAGAAATTTGCTCATAAATGGAAGAAATTGAGGACGAACATACATAGTAATCGATCACATCAATCAATAAATCGATAGTTGACGAGACAATAAATAAGGACACAATATATAAAATTTGTATGGACCGTACTACACACAGAAAAAAAGCATCCGAAGTGTAAACGCTATGACGTCACACAGTTCGGGGACGAGCAGACAAATTCAGACGCACACACTCACATATATTCTGATGAACTGAGTAGTGTAAACGGCTAAAATCCTATGCAACTATGTTTGACATAGTAAACGAAAAAAAAACGATGTGTGCAACCACGTATGCTGTCTATGAATACAGTAATTTACGAATAAAAATTACTATGTAATATTTCACGATGATGGGAAATGATGGTTTTACATATCAGTGAAGATAAATACGTAATCATATCGTTATCTGATTCCCGCTGAATTTAGCATCAGCGTGGTAAATTACGAAAGTTAGCGAAAAAATAATAAAAGACGACACGAAATTACGGACAGTGCTATATGGATGACGACACATGCCAATTTAATTTTGTGTCCGTCATTGATATCTACCGACAGTTGCCGAGCCTCGATGTGAGGATAGTTGAAGGTACTTGTCGAATTCATGCGGATTAATGTCCTGAAATTGAAAACTTCCTCTTGCGTCACCCTTTTGGGAGATATCCTTCACTAGGCACACAGTTCAAGTAGAGATGGTAGGGTTTGAAATTGTGAGGAGTGACCAGGCGACACTCACTACTACGAGACCGTCAATGAAACAAATATTTGAGGTATTAACAACTGTATCTTTAAATCTAAGTGGTATGCTGGGATTGTTCAAAGGGCAGGTGTCAGACTTTGCGAATTCATCGATTTGCTAGCGAAATCCAGTGTTGCACCAGCGAATCGAACTATGTGTCAGCGGATCGAATGATGAACCAGGGACTCCATGTGTTTGGAAGTGGCGGGACTCCCTGTCGTTTGCACGTTGACTCTCGCCACTTTCCCGAGCTCTCATGCCCTCGTGAGCCCGGGAAAGTGGCGAGAGCCAACGTTCAAAGGAGTCCCGCCACTTTCAAACAGTGTCGAGTCGCTGGTACATCGTTCGAACCGCTGGTACACAGTTCGATTCGCTGGTGCAACGCTCGTATCCCGCGATTCGCTAGCGAATCGCTCGATTCGCAAAGTCTGACACCGGCTAAAGAAGCATGGGACGCTTTGGTGTTTTCAAGGGTAGGCTTCGTATTTTCAGTTAGACATGAAATGAAGCTAATTTCGGGACGTTGGGAAGCTTTCCATGAACTCGGAGAAACTTCGGGAATTCCACTGTTTCCATAGCCCATCCCCCACCTGCCCTTTCTGAGGAGGGAAGGAGGAGTTCCGAAGTGTTCCAACATGAACCAGGTTCAATGACAGTAAGGGCCGCATTGACTGTTGGTGCTGCCGTATTTGGGACCCAATGGTCAATGGGGAATTTAAGAAACATGGAAGTTTCTCCTGATTAGCTTCACGTTTCACCATTGTGTCTGCGGTACGGAATATATTACTATAACTTTCACTGGTCATGAAGCCTACCGCTATAGCAACTGGATCGAATCCTAACGAAGAGGTGTAGTCGACATCCATGTTGGAGTCTGGAACCGCTCCGCTGTCAGTTGACATCGTTCGCTGAAAAAGAGTTTGCAACCTCAATCCGAACCATCTATTTTTGATTCTTCAAATATATTTACAAATAGGTCTTTGCAGATCGCAAAACGGGATCAGCGATCATTATGCAAAGAGCGCTTTCAAATTCAAAACAGATCAATAGTATAAATATGACGAAATTTTCAAATCAATAGTATAAATAATGACGAATTTTCAAAAGGTCGAATTATCTAGCTGTAGAAAAACGAAGTGGGTCGGATAATGGTGTATGCATTTGTATATGCTCGAAAATTGCGTTTGACAAGAATGTAATCAAGTTTAAAAAAGCAACAAAATCGAGCATCATAGAAACACAAAGTTGATTCAGGTTCATAGATCAAAGGCAGCGATCAGGATGGCTATCGGACGGAGCCGTTCGTGCATCGATAACGTATGTGACCGGCTTAGAGTAGTTTTCAACCCAACCCCCTGGTGTCGCTAAGTTCGGTCCACCAATCGCTCCAGTGACTTATCAAACATTCTAAACACTTTCGGTTCGCTGCTTTAAACGCGGTGTGCGCACAGCTCCTTCTTACAAGGAGCACGTTCCCAATCGCGAACCAGGGTCAAGCGAGGCGTTGAGGAAAATTTGGAAATACGACCCCCCCCCCCACCACCCTCCGCCGGAGGCCGAAGTCCATGAAACAACCCTCTTCAAAAGCCGAACTATGAAAAGGTTGAAAATTCTCCCCCAAAACTGCTCATAAAAAAGCCCTGCTACCCCACCGCCCACAAAAAATTCGTTTAAGAAGTACAAAAGTGAAAAAGTCAAAGAATAATCATTATTGATGAGTCCTACCAAACGAGCAAACGAGAAACAGACCAGAAAACGACAAACTAGCCACTAAAAATGGCATACCATGACAACATCTGTTCTTTATTTATTTCCTCCACAAGACTTACCAAATTCTAGTACTACACAGATTGTGGTTCTCAATTTGCACGTAGCCCTTCAGTTGAAAGAAGCTTTTTAACCGCCTTCGCCAGCTGTGTGTTGACTGGACTTTGGCGTTGACCGTGGAGCAGCTTATTTACTATTGAAATTTGAACAAATATTCAAATGATTATAACTTTCTTCAAAGTATAACGAATTTTCAATCTGAAAGCAGATTTGGGAGTTTTGTGAAGAGCTTTTTCTAATCAGTATTGAAATTACAAAAAGTTATAAGAAATAACAAATTTAGGTCAATTAACGAGGAAAATTCGAGATGAGCACGAGTTTTTACACTTTCCGAAGCAACAACTTGCTTCATTTTCGTCAAATTCGAAAAGTTAATATGGCAGACAAAACTAGAAGATTTTCTCTACCAAACCATTGCTAAAGCAGCTCTATACGTCCAGTATTCGAAAAATGCCACGTTGAGGATTTTGCAAAATTAACGAGGAAAATTTGTGATGAGTGCGAGTTTTTCACTTCCTAAAGCCATAACTCCGTTCAAACTCATCCAATCCGAAAAGTAAATACGCCATCATAAACTAGAAGATTTGCTCTATCAAATGCTTACTAGAACTGCTCCAAACGTCCAGTATTAAAAAAACGGCTACGTTGAGGATTTTGCACGAGTACCGCCGAAAGGTACTTTTTCGCTACATTGGCACTATTTCAACGGCTGCATATCCTTTTAAGGGCGATTATGTACTAAATTAGGAGCAGATTTGGAATCACTGTTTTCTCTTTCTAAGAAAAGTGATTGATTAGCGTTTCTCAACTTTAAAGGTTACATGTTTATAAATTTAACCCTGAAGAGTCCGTTAACGCAATGTTGAATGGTGTACACCTCCCTGTAAATGCGCACGGACACTTTCAGAATTCTCTCGATTGTTCCTGAATTGAGGTTGTTTGTCCAAGGAGCCGTAGTTGAAGCGCGCAACAACTAGACCCTTTCTCGGATGCGCCGTGTACCTCACATCCCTTCAGATTCGGGGTCTTACTTGAAAGATGAAATATCTCTTGGAAAGTGTGCGAAATTCAGATTCTTTAACTTGTGTGGTGATAAAACACTGAAGTAACTAAGAATTACCGGACGCCTCAGAATCACGAAAATTTTGTGTGGGTGAAATATCATTTTCATTGGAAATCCTCTGGCCTGGCATCGACTCATCCTTGATATTTGTCTTCCGACGGTGATGATCCCACTGCATCAAAATGGCTCGATCTCTTCCACCCAGCGGGCCAATACGACCCCCCCCCCTGCGACGTGTCGAGGATTCCTCAACGCACGCTTGACCCTGTCTACCCGTGCACAAGAACAAATATAAACAACCATTGTTGCCGATTATTAATTCATTTTAGAATACTGAATGTGTCTACATCTCAAACAGGTTTTCAATGTCTTCTTGTTCTATTGACATATAACCTCTAATATTACTTGAATCTCTAACATTACTTGAATGAAAAATAAAGTAAAGAACTATACAATATCGATTTAATAGAGCGAAAAACTTACGTCGTGAGCAAATTGCGGGGCGAGGTGGGCGTGGCCGGTTTGGTTAATTGGCGGGAACGCAGGATACTGCGTCTGCTCGGGTTGTTGTGACGCATAAAAATTGTCAGATAGGGAACATGTTTAAAAATTTATACAACATCAATCAATGTATCAAAACTGGAACGAATCATCAAGTCTATACCAGTAAAGAGGAGATCCATGTGGTGCAGCATTTCGTGCAGTCTACAGTAATCCCACTTTGGCAGGGCAAGGAAGCGCACAAGATTATAAGTTCAGGAAAATGGGATGGTGTACCGTAACCCGCGTTGGCGCTAGAGCGCAGTTGCAAGCCTCCAGGACGCAACGCAAGCGCTAAGGTGCGAGCGACTGCAATCAGTGAGGTTACTCCGGCTCTCCAGGGTAGCAACCCAATGGAAAAGCGTCGCAGCGTTTGCTGGCAAAGGGAAGTAATTCCCACGTGCAGCCTCATCCTACGTGAGGCCAATCCGACATGCGTGCCATCCTCCACCTCCTACATTAACGGCGCTCGGTATAGTTGGCGAGTTTGCTCGACACATTTCTCCTCGTTGAGAGAACGCAGAGAAAACGAGAAGTGGGAGGCGAGCACGCATGGAAAATCGATGACACGTGACATTGCGCGCCCCAGTGCCAACGCCCCAACGTCGAAAGCGTTACGGTATTTCGCCCTACGTTTTTGAACTTATAATCTACTAAGGAAACACCGGGGTGGGGTAAAATCGAAAGCAAAACGGTTCAGGCCCGCCGGGGACTTCCTTACACTGCCAAAATCGAAAAACCAAAGGCGTCACATACCGCTACATGCCCTCTCTCTTCTTCCCTCTACCTCTCCCCCACTACTAGAAATGACCCGAACCATCTACTGTCTTATGAGACTATGGATTCCTGACAACAATTAGTAGCTCAACTGAGTTCTAGCACAGAGAGAGCTTAACACCAATCTAATCACGAGACCTAAAGCCCAGGTCAAGTACTAGCACAAGAAGTAAATCCTTATAAAATTTAATTTAAAAAATGGATTACCATCAAACTCGATGTCTGCATCGGTGACATGGCATTGTGGTACTGTTGAGGGCTTTGGTCGAGTAATCCCTGGAATATTCATAGCAAATTTATAAAACAAACTTGGAGCTGCAACGTCATATTACTTTCGAATCAGATAACCGAAGTCACAGTACCCGATAAGAAGTGGGGTAGGTGGTTAGAATGTGAAGTAAGAGATCTACATTGACTGGTCGTAAAGAAAAGATGAAAGTGGAACTCTCGAGAACACTGAAAAGAATGTCACCTTCTCTGAACGGTGAACGATTTTGTGAGACAGTAAATCCGAGAGACACTGCGCGCCGAGGCGAGAGAACAGACTCAGAGAGAAGGAGAGGAGGCGGACAAGATGTACACTTCAATGAATTCGTCACTGTGGCAAATGTTTTGGATGACGAAGGTACCCCAACACTGTGGATACGAACCAGCTGCCTTATTCACAGGTACTAGCCTTATAAATCACATGTGCTTCTAGTCAAATATCTCTTACTAACACTATCAACAAAAAAAAGCGGAAGCCACTTACCAGGTGCCTTCATATAGATAATAGTTATTTATAGAAACGTTCATGCTCCATTTGACCTTCGCATGTCAGCCTAAGCCTAATACCTTTATTTTCGCTCTCTTATCGTACCAAAACTTCCCTTATCTACTCCATAATATTGTTAGTGTTATTATTATATTATTATTATTTTTTTACTTTTATTAATTGCATGTGCTTTTGGCACATGGAAGAATACAAGTTAACCAATAAAAAATATCCAAAAACAAGTACCTAATACTTGGGAGGGCCTGCAAGGCAATAAAACAAACTACGAAATAAAAAAGTGATAATCTGTATGAGGTAGCAAAAAACATGGCAAAACCTCCAAACCTCCACAACATGTCCTCTTTTCGGATAACGCCGCAAGCTGTTTATGAATTGGCTGTCCTTCTAGGCATAATGAATTTTTTAGACAATTTTGTAACTCGGTAGCTGCCCTTGAAGCGAGAAACTTGGCCCTAATATTCGTCCTAGGACAGTGAACTACGAAAAGCTTTTTCTGCTATCTTCTTGAATTGGTCTATGGCGGAAGTGGTGTAGTGGCAAGTGGCACGCTTACCACGCGAGCGGTCCGGGGATCAAATCCTGGGTCGTGAGTCGCCCGGGCCAACCAAGCCTTCCATCCCTCCGGGGTCGGTTAATTGGTACCAGACTTGTCTGGGAGGATAAAAACACTGACTTGTACATCGGCTGGCCCCGCAATTGTATAGGCCACATCGCATTCAAATCCTTATTATATCCTTTATTTATCGAACTGAGAAGAAATCTTGAGATATGACATCTACTCCACCTGTGAGCATCTTAGATCAAACATCTCCCTCCTGTGTGAGAAAGAGTCGATACCTAGAATAATGCCTCTGGGTTCGATTTACAATTGAATCCAGAGGCATTATTCTAGGTATCGACTCTTTCTCACACAAGAGCTCGAATTGAGGTTTTCGGGTAAAACTGTTCTGCACGGATTCAATTTTCCTAATGTTGCTTTTAGAATGCGGAAAGAAGACACTAGTTCCGTACTCTAAATGGGACGTACATAGGTTTTGTAGGCTTTGAGAAGAATGCATGGGTCTCTGGTGCACAAACTCCTCATCAGTAAATAAAGTCGCCGCTCTGCTTTACTTGTAATTGATGCACAGTGCTGTGAAAAGCTTAATCTGTTGTCAACAATGAACCCTAGGTCCTTAACTTCATCAGCATTACTGAGCTCCATGCCATTAATACGATATGTGAAATAATTCGAACTACGGCCGAGGTGAAGCACAGAGGTTTTCTCATTAGCCAGGGGAAGACCTCCATCTCACAGATAATGTTTTAACAATGTCAATTGTTTCTTGAATTTTAGTGGAATAATTTACAGTTGGAATGCCGTGTAGACTTTCAAATCATCAGCAAATGCTTTACAAATGACATCCGACTTTTCAATTAGACCAGGAAGCTCATATGTGTAGATGTTATACAATACTGGGGATAAGACAGATCCTTGGGGGACCCCACTAGGTGCTGACCTAACATCAGAGAATACCGTATTAATCCGGACCTGGAATATGCGTTGCGTTAAAAATGATTCTAACCAGCCTATATTTCTTTAGTTTACGTCTACATGTTCAACTTTACTAGCATTCGCCTATGTGAGCCCTTATCGAAACCTCTGCAAGTCCTTTTCCGCTGTCCAAAAAGTTGGACCAATCATTAATCACCTCAAACTGGGAGATTGTTGAGCAATATTTCCGAAATAAATGTTAACTGTCACACAAAACCTTGTTCCGCTCTAAGTGCTCTACTAAAACCTTCTTAGTATTTTCTCAATATTCGACAGAAGACGGACGAGATACAAAAGGATTAGATATTTAGATCCTTAAAGGCGGAGGCAGGGATAGCCGAGTGGTTAAGAGGTTAGACTCATGTCTGCACCT